GTAGATACACTTCTACACTACCATTAGATAAATACTTTCCTAATCTATTTATTACCATATTTAATCTATTTATTACCATATTGAATCTATTTATTACCTCTATATACTGCCATAAGTTGCTTGGTAATTTAAAGATAATTGATCATAAAAAAATACCCAGAATATTATGCACATACGATGTTTTTCGAACTTTAAAACGAATATAGCTTCGTCTTCTACGGCGCGCCACTATTATTCAACATTTACATCTCAGACATCTCCGTTAACGATTCACCACAAATGACACAATTCGGCGATGATATCTTGCTACACATTCCCAGTAGTAACTTAGAACAAGCGACAAAAGAGATGCAAAAACACCTCATAATACTAGAAACATGGATGAGTAATTGTAAAATAAAAGTCAAATTTTCTAAATCAATAGAAAAAGAATTTACACTCAGATTTTCCTATTTCCTTCCGCCATTGTAGTTATATTCTGAATGTATTCTCTGGTCCCCCAATGAACTCATCCATATCGAGCCTATCTTAGAGTCAAACTGAATACTAGACTAACATGGAAAGAACATGCGTCTTCAAAAATAAAAATTAGTGGTGTTATAACAGCGTAACGATTACCGTTACCACACCCATTACAACATTATTCGTAACGGTTACGTAATATTATAACGCTACTTGAACATATATTTGTGTAATTTGTGAAAAATTAAACATTTACATCAAAATAACGTGCCTATCTTGTTATTTAGAGCACATATCAATATTCATTCACGATCTTTAAAGAAAAACCGTGGACCTATTTTCGAGAAAACCTTTTTTTAAAAATTTTCTTTATTTCAGGCAAAAAGTACTCCTATTTTTAAAAAATCTTTATGACATCATGATATTATTTAGAGATATAATTTTCAAGAACATATTTCTCTGGAAAACATATCTATCTTCAGTATTGCAGTAATTTCAATATTTCAGTAAGAAGACGCCGAAACAAATTTAAACTTCTGCAAATTTCGAAAATTCGAGGAATAAATTTAAAGAAAAAGTTGAAACCCTTTGTAAAAAGATAACGTGTGTTTGGGTTTTCATGAAAAGTATCCCCAAAAATTAAAATATCCTTTTTCAAATTCAGACAGATCGATTCGGGAATAACAGTTTTGATTAAAATCCTACATACGGTTTTGCGTTATTGACGGACGAACGGAAGAACAGACGGTCTGACAGACGGACGGACAGACAGTCGGACAGGCGGACAGACATGCGGACACAGACGAACGGACAGACGGACCGACAGATATACTGATAGGCCTGCGGACAGACATTCGGTCAAACAGACTCCTGACAGACGGCCAGACAGACGGATAGACAGACGGTTAGGGAGACAAACAAACAGACGGACAGACAGGCGGTCAGATAGACGAACGAACGGACACACAGACAGACTGGCGAATAGACGGACTGACCGACGGATGAACAAGAAAAAGGACGGACAGACATTTTGCCGAAAATCAATTTTTCGATATCAAGGATTCACAAAATACGGATCCTGAAACAAAACGTCTTAAAAGAAGTAATTTACTGAATATAGGGACAAGAATTATCCATCTTTTCGGTATCAGGAATATAAAATACAACATTTTCTGCCAAAAACTCGCCATCCTCGCAGCAGCATAACAACTTTCTCTGTTCTATGTAAATACATGTAAGAGAGTGAAAACTAATAGAAGAATCATTATTATTTATCTGTAAATATTAGAATTTCTTAATATCCCTTAACACAATTAATAGATATTTGAAAATCTAATATTATGTAGAGTAGATAAGTATAAAATTATGATAATTAATAAAAAATAGTATTAATTACTCTATATTTCTTATATCGGTATAATTGAGATTCTCTTCTCATTATTAATATTATTCTTTCTTGATTCTGGATATATGTTTTATTGATATTCTTCATTCATGATTAAAATTCTTCATCCGAGATCTACATTTATTTTATCTTTCATCCAAGTCCATCCGACCTGTTAATATATAAAACCATCCATCGGCCACTAAAACATTAAGCCTTCTGTTCTGATAGACGAGGCTCCGACAGAATACAACAAATTTTTCGATCAAATTTCTTTGAATTATAGTAAATCGTTGTATGTTCAAAATATTGTATATCTAACATTTGTGTAGATCTTCCACCCTTTCTCCATGTATGCAACCGTCTCTGGTTCCACAAATCCCTTCATCTTTTTGTTGACCTTAACTTCATAAATCCTTTTACTGTGATAATTATATCTCCAACCATTACAAGCTTATCCCAAACCCAAAATATAATTATCTACCTGATGAGGATGAGTTCATAAGTTACCCTTCCTAAGAGAGTTTTAAACGTACAAAACGTACACGACTGTGACTGTAGAGGCATCTAGTCGTTTTATTGTCTCTTATGTTCTAGATTTTTTAAATAAAAGAATATCGGAACCGTGAAATATTATTAACGCCGTTATCATAACTATGACTTGCCAATAATCTGACCTCCTGGATTTCCACCTTGACAGTGAAAGTAGTACTGCAAATCTCCAAGGCCGACGGTATAATCAGTATCTTTGCAGTTTCTCAGTTTTTTCTCGTACACACTGAACTAATGAATGTTGTTAATTATACCTATGCTGTATATTTGCAGAGACGCATGTGCAAGCAACCTCAAATAAGCCAAAATGCAGGAATGCATGTTCAATTGAGGAGAAATATACTTGTAGCTTTATGACAAGAATTTTCATAGGTTTTTTTTCAGTATCAATCCTACAATCCACTTTCTTTTTTTGTTAATAATATTTTAACTAATATCAAAAATAGTAAAACATTGAAATTAATTCGTAATAGCTTCGAGATCATTTGCGGCATACGTTCGAGACTTGTCCTATTTAAAGACATTGTCGTAGATGGGATTATGCCAACCCTTCCACAATTAGCGAGGTGCTAAACGCCTTCGGTAAAGGAGAGTGAACGGTTCGTGATGTAAGCATCTTCAAACACGAAGATAACTGCAGCTTGTGCAAACAGCCATCGTGCAAATTTCCTTCGTCACTCCTCGCTTTCCTTGACTTACTGCTCTCCTCTCGAAAATTAACATAATTACCCTTGGTCAATTTGTATTGTTTCGTTGCAGAAGGTGGAAGTAAAGCCCGTTTCCCACCATGAAGTGCAATCGTTATACATGTTAATTAATTATGTTTTTTTTGTTATTTTTGCCCCTGAATGATACATATTTATGTAGAACGACGAGAATAAAAAAGGAACTTACGTTATACTCTCTTTGAATTTAACCATTTGATACAATAAAATATTCATTTGGAAAGATTCTTTTGGACTCGAAATGGGGCAGACGTGCTCTAATGTTGTATACTTTACATTTTAAAAATACATCATTTTAATCTGATATCAACCATATATAAAATAAGAGTAGCGCGCACATGATATTTTGTAATCAGAAAAAGACCCAACCAAAAATATTTTCAAATATATAGGGTTGAATCTTTCACTTGTCATTGATGCAAAAACATGGCAAGCTTGATATTAACTGTAATGATATGTATAATATATGTAACTGTAACTGATGGATTGTAAAATAAAATCAAAAAGTGCGTTCAAAAAGCTGATATAAATATATTTAAGTTATATAGAAAACGTATTTTCAAACGAGAAAAAAACTATTTTCCGGTAAATGTGTGTGCGTACTAGGGAATCAGATAAGACAGGGAAGAACAAAACATCGCGCGGGCCGTAGCTCGTTTGTTAGGGTACTACTTCGCCTGGAGTTGATCGGAGAACCCACGGAAAACTACCGATCAGGCCAGCCGTCCGCTAAAATCCTCCTCCAGACAGTGGCTGAATTCAACGTAGCTCTGCAGCTAAAGTAAAAAATCCGTCGTAGTCGGTACTCGAACCGTAGGGCCACCCAGTGTAATCTCAGGGACAGTCCCAGCGTTCGCAGTGAGCTAGATTAAGCCATCCCCACTGTCCATTGTCCATCGTGTCTGCGCAGCACGTGCCATTGAAGTCACGCGTGCTTTCGAATTCTTTGCAGCAGCCGCCGCCGTCGCCGTCGCCACCGTTTGCAGCGCATCGCGGCGCGCTGGCGCGACAGCCAGCGGGAAAGTGGCGGCGGCGGGGCGAGGGCGGGGGCGGGGCGGGGCGGGGCACATGGCCGGAGGAGTTCATGGGTCCGCGAGGTCATCGAGGTCACCGGGGCACACGGAAGGCCGCCGCTTGCACCGCCGAGGTGTACGCCGCCGCAATCCTACAGCTTCCTCGTCTCGCTCGCTTCTTCAATTGTGCCCCGCCACTGCCATCGCCGTCTCTTGCCGATGAGACTTCCCTGCTTCCTTTCCCCTACCCACCATTTCACCAACACTCGACAGTCATCGCTCACCTCTCCGGTCCGTTTTCCATCCCTGCTACCCCCCACGCGCCTCATCATTACCGCTTCATCCTTTTCCCGCAGTCACCATCACCTCATTTGCAAACCTCTCAACGTGTTCACCCGTTCACAAAATCGCCGTCTCTTCCCGATGAGACTTCCTGCCTCCTTTCCTCTTCCACCATTTCCAACCACCTCGACAGTCATCGCTCACCTCTCCTTCCGTTTCCAATCCTGCTAACCCCTACCTGCGCCTCATCCATTACCCGCTTCATCCTTTTCCCGGCAGTCACCATCACCTCATATTGCAACCTTCTTCAAACGTCCTCCTTAACCGTCTCCCTTCTGCACACCCACCGCCAGCTTCCACCCACATACATCGCTGATATCGCCTCCGGTGCCACCCGCAACCTCCGCCACCGCCTCCCTCGCGCCGCAGCCGCCTCAATTTCCAGAGGCGTCTTTGTTCCCCGCACGTGCATTCCCCGCTGCTCCCTGCCGCCCCCGCTGCTCCCGCCGCCCCCGCGCCGCGTATCATTTACCGGTTTGTGACAACTTTTACTTTAGCCGCGGAGCCCCGCCGGCGCCGGAGATGGCTCCCCGCGGGGAGGAGCGCTTATTGAAAGGCAATGCTACTAACGTACGCTACTCGCCCGCTTCCGCGTCGGCCGCCGCCGCCGGGGTGGGGGAGCGGCAGAGGAGCACGGGGGGAGGGGCACGCCAGGAGAAAGATTCTCCAGCGCGGCCACCCTCCTCCGCGGCCGGGTATATAAGCCGGCCCGAGCCGTCTGGCTGGCATCAAGAGTTCAATTTCTCTCCTCCTAGCAACATCTAGAAGGAGCCTCCTTCTATAGCGCAACATAAAAGTGCTCGTGGTAAGTGTGGCTGGAGTCTGGGACCGCCTCGCCGATAGATGTGCTCAATGTACGGGAGAATAGGGCTTCGCGGTAACTGCTGTGCAATCCGCACCATTGCTAGCTCAACTTTTCAAGTTCGCGCTTTGAAAATTGAGCTGTAGTACATCTCCCTCCTAAGGATTTCAACTCGTCCATCGCTTTCTTTACACTTTTTATTCGCGAAATATCTGGTTCCTTCAGTGTTTCCGTGAGCAACGCATGTAACATCAGTCGTTTCTTTCGAAAATCGTGAGTCAAATCATTGAAAAAAATTATAGAGTCTCTTTGCTATTTCACGAAATATGATTTACTAATCCTTAGTTTGCAAGAATGCTATCGGTATAAATGATATTCTGGAGTTAAATTCTGCGATAGAATGAGAACTTTCACGCAGTCATTCAGAACCTTCAGGTTCATTTCTTCTGACTGCTGGGACGTGTACATTAATGAGTTATTTTGCCCGTTACTTCAAAAAATTGTATTTTCGCATATCTTATTCGCAAGGCTTATTTCAAATGTAAGGATTTTATCATTCAATCTGCTATAGCTCACATAATTTCAACGACCACGTGAGTCTGTACTCTTCCTCACAAAAATAGGTTTTGTGGAAATCGGGATCGAAAATGTTACTCGCAATCTTTAGTTTCGCCAAACAGCATCGTCAGCACTTTATTTGTCTGGAGACGTTACATTCTATCTAAGACGAATCATCATATAGATTAGATGTTAGATATACTGAAAAGTATCTTGAGGAAATAATGGGAAGGAAAAAGGAAAGAGGTGAAGAGAAAATATGGTAGTGAATAAACAGGAAGCGCGGGTAAAGTAGCGAAAATGTAGCCAAACAACGAGGCAAATTCATAATACTGTAGCGAGAAGATGTAATATAAACGGGCAACAATTGTTGTAGGTAATCAATCTCACAGAAGACGCGAAGATATCCGAGAGTGTTTAGATAAAATTATATCGAGGGTACAAGTATGGGTACGAAGCCATAAAGCAGCGAAGATGAATAAGGCGCTATACATCGAATACTCTCATAATAGTGAAAACAGATAGATCGGCGGTTTTGCTTCTGTGGCAATTGCGAGGCCGGGGGGAGCTGGGAGTGTTTCTAAAGAGGCGTTTGCTCTTGCAGGTGGTGGCCGCCCCTCGGGTGCTGGCTCAGGCTAAGCCTGAGGCGGATACTCCTACTCCGCTCCTTCTTCCCGCTACGGGGCTCCCGGCGGCGGGGGCAGCCTTGGCGGGGCATCGGGAGCGGCGGTGATCGGCGGGCGGCGGCGGCCACGGTACGAGGCGGCTTCGGCGGTGGATCGGTGGCGGAGCGGCCATCGCGGCGGTGTCTCGGCGGCAGCATCGGCGGCGGCTTCGGAGGCTCCGGATTCGTGGCGGTGCCGGCGGCGGCTCCGGCGGCCGGCCTTCGGCGCTGGAGCGGCTCCGGTTTTCGGCGGCGGCGCCGAGGCGGTTTTCGGAGGCGGCGCCGGTGGCGTTTTCGGCGGCGGTGCCGAGGCGGCTTCGGCGGCGGCGCGAGGCGGCGCCCGGCGGCGCGCACCCATCCAGAAGCACATTACGTGCACGTTTCCGTGCCCCAGAACCCGAAGAACCCGCGCCCATTCGCCCCATACGGCCCCACGCGCCAGCCCAAAGCACTACAAGATCATCTTATCAACGCCACTTCGCCCCATCCCACCGCATCCCGTCATCCCCGCCCAGCTTCCAGGACGAACAGAAGACCCTCATCTACGTGCTGTCAAGAAGCCGAGACGCGCCCGAGATCAACATCCCCACCCGGCTCCCCTCCGCGCCCTCCAAGCCGAGGTGTACTTCATCCCGCTACAAGACCGCAGAATGGAGGCTTCTGCCGGTGGCGCCATCGCGCGCGGCGACGCGCGGCGGCATGGTTGAGCATCGGGGGCCGGCATCGGTGGAGGCATCGCCGCGGCAATCGGTGGAGGACTCGGCCGAGGAATTGGTGGAGGACTCGCGGCCGGCTCCGGGCCTGGGCGCATGGAGGGCTCGCGCAGACTGGCAGTTTGAGCGGCATGCGGCGGCCCGGCCGGCACGGCGGCGGCATCGGCGCGGCATGCGGCGCGGCAGCGGCGTCGGCGTCACCGGCGGCGGCGGCGGCGTCAGCTCCTCCTACGGCGTGCCTGGCCGAACCGGCGGCCCCTACTAAGCGATGGCAACGCGCACCGCTCCTGCGATCTCCGACCCGCGGGGCTCCAAGTCGCTGCCTCATCGCAGCAGCTCCAATGTTCCTTCACGATGGCGGAAGCGTCACTTCACTCCGAGTGGTTCCTTTCTTAGTCTTTGCAATGATGTTTTCGAACTCATTTTCCAACACGAAGTGACGTTTTCGGACTTTGCACGATTCGATACATCTGGAGATTTACCATTCGCAACCGTACAAAGATCTGTGGCGAGATACTACGGGTATAACGATGGAAAGTGTCATGGCGATGTCATTATCTCACTAGGTCTCATATGTATCTTCTGTGGCGAGAAGCTACAAAACATTCTTTTTTATACGTTTTTGTACGATATTGTATATAAACGATTTTTGCAAGAAAACGGTGGCAATAAAATGTATTAGCCGAAAATATATGTATTTTCTTTCCCCCTTCATCCCATCCCACAACAATATAAAATGAGAAAAATAAAAATAAAAAAATAGTATTCAACAGTACTCTCGGTCCTGTACAGAGTTGGATAGGCGCCAAAGAGAAAACCTGAGCACGTTTAGCTGTGCAGAGTAGACAGTCGAACTAGGCAGCAGGGACACCCCATCTGGGTTTAACAGAAACCAGGATAAAAGGCGGTGTGCCCCAAGGGTCCTTTCTCCGGCCCGACATGCGCCACGCAAATGTCAAGCGTTGCGCAACACGGGAAGAGAAAGCGGCAAAGGTTAAATCGGATGGGGGGTCAGTTGTGGAAAGCACCTGTCGTACGCCCTCACGCCTCTCCGGTTGCGTCGCCCCATACCGTCTCCGGGAAGCGCTTGGCCCCGCCCCTGCCCCACCGCCGCCGCAGCAGCAGCCGCTTCCTCCATGCGGCGCCAGCTTTCCCTCGGTGCGGGTGGGCCTTTTTCAGGCAACGGATGCGATGCGGCCAGGCTTCGCCGCGACGCACAGTGGTCCAAAACGAGGCTCTAACCACAGCGCAATTAGAGGGGCATTGGAGGCGAGATAGCTAAATAGTAAGCTGAGACGGGCAACTTTTCGAAGGCGTGCCTACAAAGAAATAATATGTGAGGATAGTTCTACTCAAAGCAATAACAACGGCAACAATAACAGTAAAATTCACTAAAGTCATGACGCAATAGTAATGTATAGATGAAAAAACTACATTGCCTAATTTTTCCTAATTTTGAAGCAAGAGGTTGACTCGAATTTATTTATAATCCTAAATATATGTCAATAAAAATTATAAGCACAAATGAATTTATTATATTCCTCAAACCATGTTTGAAGCATGCTTCCCTAAAATGCAAAAGTCTGAGTATTATACGTTCATTTTTTACTCGTTTAGTTTCCATATATCTTCTCTTCAGATAAATGTTAATCGATCGACTTATCTTTTGCAATATTATTTTCTTTCATAAAAACAGTGGTTACCTTATAAGTGGGATCAAATTTTAAGTTAAAAAAAATTAATGTTGCCTCTCTCTTTTTAAATTTCAGAACATTCACATTAGCAATGTTTTTCACGGAAATAAGTTTGCAAATTATTTGTTTGCAACTCGACTCAAGAGCATTCTTCTATTTACTTATTTGTACATTACAAAAGCTTTTTGAAGAATCCATTTTTAAGCATTATACTGAGAAAGGCCAGTCTTCTTTCATTGATTTTTTGTTTTAATTATATAATGTAAGAGATTTAAATAACTGTAAAGAAAAGGTACAAATTTGATGACTTACTGCTAACTAGAAAACGAATGGAAAGAAAGAAAGTAAGTAAATTAAAAGTGAAATACTGTCGTGGAAACGTCTCGAATTTTCTTTATTTTTTCTTTTTTTTTACTTTTCTGTATTATTTTGTAATATTTATTTTTCTTCTTCGACGGTTTCTACTCCTAAGAGCTTGCAGTTTTCGATTTCCTTATTTTTTCTCCCATTGACTTTCTTCTAATCCTTTCACCTCCATCACTTCCTGAACAAATATATATAGGCCTCCCACGTCAAAATCAGTGTGCCTCTTCTACGCCTTCATTCAAGTATCTAATTTAAAATTTGTTTTGGCCATATCTCACTTTCCATCCTCTGGACAAGTATATACCATTGAAGAGCTTTACTTTTTAGTCTGGTTATGGTTCTTTGAACCCCAGCTCTTTCCCATACCACTTCGTTCCTTGTCTTGACCAGCCTTGTTATCTGCAAAGATCTCATAAAGTCTGTCTCTTGCGCTTCCGTATTCTGTTCTGTTCCCTACTGACCGTATTCTGCCTCTACGGCGTTTCGTTAAAGGCCACATTTCTGCTCCATGTAATATATTTTCCACAACACTGTGGAATATTCTTCTCTTTGTATCTTGTCTTCATACACTATTCCCATTTATTTTTCTTTATTATTTAATTATGTTATTTGTTTATTTATTTTTTATTTATTTATACATTTATTTATTAATATATTTATTTATATATTTATTTATATATTTATTTATATATTTATTTATTTATTTGTGTGCCCGGAGCAACGTTTGATCGTTTCGGACCAATGTGCGGCGGCCCTGCATTACACAAACGCTCTTTTCGCAACGCGAAGCGCTGCGTTTTCTTTTCGCGCGTATCTTGGCACTTTCCTCTCGGATCGTGCGTCTTTTGTTGGCAGACGTGCTTTCTACTCAGGTTGCGTATTCCTGGTAGTTGATTTCATTAAATCACTTGATAGGTAGATGAAAATTACGCTTCTAGATTTTTTTATAATTGTGTCATTTTAATGCGCACGGTGTTATATCTTTTATTTACTCAAAATCTTCAAAACCGAAGTAAATAGCTGAAATTAGTAAATAGTTATCGTCAATTTCACTTCAAAATATATTCTGGGCTAAATTAATGAATGAATTCATTAAAGCTCGTGAGGTGAGTTTATATTTATATGTACCCGATCAAAATTAAATGTCATCTGTGAATAATATTCAATTGACTATATTTTGATTCATGTCTTATAATTCCAATTCAAGACCGCCGCGTTTCCTGCAACTACATCATTCACAATTGTTCTTTTGTTCTATTTGTGTTGTGACATATTCATGTAAACATAATCACGTGTGTAAACTATATTTATTGATTTTAATTTCCAACATCTAAATATTTTACAGCTCATGTTTTTGCTAGAGAAATGTCTCCTTCAGAATCTTATTTATAATTATAATTATCTAAAAATTGTTTTTTTAGAAAATGTAACTACCCCGTGTATTTCACAGATTAATTATTAGAATTCAATGATATTGAAAGAAAAATTACTCAAATAACCCTAAAATCATTGCTGCTAGAAATAAAACTTAATAATTACACAGTAATTTCAAGTAAGAAGAATATAAATCTGAATCAAAATTCACTACCTCATTCTTAGCCCTATCAAATTACTATGAACGGAATTACGACTGGTTCCCTGTAATTACGTGATTAGTTCCAGGTATGGTATGTTATTAAACTTAGCGTGAGAGTCGTCTTCTTTTCTGGCGAGAACATCTGAAACAAAAGTAGCAATACCCAGTAACCTTTTATAGTGCACACATTTGTATTCACCTAACGTATTAGTTCAAGTCGTCCAAGCCAAATGTGAAGAAGCAGCGAGGCTGAGATTAGTCCAGCTGTCCATGCGATGCCCTGGGAATCTAGGTAACGGTGCTGATGTCCTTCGCGACATCTGCCTTACGAAGCCTGCCTGACGTCATCCGTCATTAACACCTTCCTTTCACCTTTTCAACAGTGCTATGATGTATGAGCGTAATGTGCCCATCGTTATTAGGAAAATCGTGAACATTTTTGTTATTTTTATTGCCACTATTTCTTAACATTGCGGTATTTTGTTTCAAATGTTCCTTAATTGAAACGTTTCTCACTTGAATGAGCGATAAATACTTGCGAGTAAGAAAGATGTTGCAATTAAGGTTTTCAATTCATTACTCAAATGTAAACATTTCCCTGACAGATATGGAATTATATATTTTCTTCGGTATCTCTAGGCAATAAATATGGAAAATTCAAATATAATATTCAATAAAAATTCGAATAGATTTTACATTACACGAGTAATTATCCTATCGAAGACAAACTGTGTTTAGCATTTCTTATCTTGATAAGAAAGATGCAGTATCTTAGTTATTGTCTGAATGAAATTAATTAAATTCAGGTATAGAACTCTTAAAGAGAAAAATAATGTATTGATATAAAAGTTTCAAAAATGAAATTACTATTTCTATATAACTGCGTTTTTTTCAGACGAGTTTCTAATGTATAATGTCAAATCGATCATTATTTTTTACGGCGTCTATAAGCGAAATCTAATCACGTTTAACGCTCTAAATTAAAATTTTATGAAATTAGGATATATTCAAAACTAAACATTTGTTTAATAAAAATGTATTTGTGAAAATAGTACTCCCAAATTTTGTTAAAACCCTGTATGCGAGGGAAAAGGCTTTATTCCAGGATACATTTTCAAAAGATGTATTAAATGCACACTTTTACATTCTTCAGTTTACACATTTTTTCCATAATGTGCTAAGACAAATTAGCTTCCAAATAAAAACAATTTTCCCAAAAAACAATGCTTCAGTGGCGACTTATCATAATTATTTTTTAAATTATGTGTTCAATATACGTAAAATCATTAAATTAGATGATAATCATGATGAAAACGATATTTCCGTATGTACTTCTGGCATACGCAAAAAATATAAAAAGTCTATATCCACAGCCCGGCGAACGCCTGAAGTTAGGCAACCCACAATACAGTAAAGTACAGCGTGAAACAGACTTTCTCGATTCAGTTTCTGAACAGAAATTGGGTGTCTTGATGTGAGTAGTTTTATGAATACGTACAAATAAGAAAATTAATCTATATTGACGATCAGTGTGATAAAAATCACGGCTTTCTGATATATTTTCTATCTTCTTTATTAGTTATTTCTAGATTATATGAAGAATTTCTAGATTATATGAATGATTAAGGC